GCCGGAACGCGGCGGAACCGCGTTCCGGCACCTTTTTCCGGGCCGGCCGCACCGGAAATAGCCCCTCCCGCACCGGAAATAGCCCCTCCCAAATTTTACTTGCATTCCTGTTCTCTAAAGGGGCGGTCCTAGGGTTTGATGAGGGCGTGGCCAGGTTTGAGTTCCGCCACCTTTTCTCTGAGAAAAAAAGCCCTGGTTGCAAGTAGCTTGGGCTGGTCAATGCAATATGGCCAGCCTTTTTCCTGAAATGTTAGAAGGCTTTCCCCAAGTTGAACAGAATGTCTGCCGCCATTCCAGAATCACTGGAGCACCCTTCTTTCTTCATTGCCTCTCCGGGGTGACTTAGACCCATTTAGGGTTCCCCGGCAGGGCAAAATTAGCCATGGGGGTGTGGAGAATCTGCAAGCCTGCAACCGATCACTACTGTGCAAAATCGGAAGTCAGCAGCTGGGAATTCTTAATTGCTGTGTTGGAACAGTCTTGTTGGAAATCTTATTTCCCTATTGCTGTAAGGAAGAGCGATGGAACTTTGTGATTAAATGAATATAATATGGGAATTTAAATATCATAGAGGTAGTCCATGATCAGCCCAGCAATACAGTTGCTAAATTATGTGATTGTTAAGTAAAATATGTCACTGCAATAGACATATTGCAATGCAGACCTAACTTCAGCCATGGTTATTAAGTGAATCACCTAAGGTCATGAAGTGAGGCATCACATGACTGCAACTTGTGATTTTACTGCTGGCTTCTCTCAGTTGTATCACCGAAGGAATGGCATTTAAAAAAAACTGTCTGTCTTAAATGATAGGTAAATGGCATCTCAGTTCAAATGGCTTACTACTTCTACAGTGGGAATTTTTGGCTGAGGATATGGTTATTTATTTATTTATTTATTTATTTATTTATTTATTTATTTATTTATTTATTTATTTATCAAACTTATTAATCACTCATCTCCTTCATAGACGCTTTTTCATTGCTGAATTAAAAATAATGGTTGATTTACAATTGTATTTAGCATTTGTTAATATTTTATAATTTGATATCTTACATTTTTTTTTTTAAAAAAAGCAGAAATATGGATTTAAAAATCACAGGCCTTTGTTAAATGCAGTACTTCAAAATTCATGTTTGAAATTTGGCATAGGGGTATTTTGACGTAATTTCAAGTATTTTTCAGTATCTCAGATAATACAGAAATCTCTGATCATAATATTTGTGTCAAAAATAATCGAACAATTGGAATTATCAATATCACTAAAAAGAAAACTACTCATTTTTTAATGTTAAATCACACAGGTAAAAAAAAAAAATCGAGGCTGCCCATATTCATGGTAGCTATACGGTTATATCACAGTTAGTTGGTCTTTTAGAAGAGAGAACATACCTAACAATAACTAACCTTTGTTTGACTGCTCCTCTGGAATTTGTCACTGATGATAATTTTAACTTTTGTGACCACAGGGCTGAGAGCATAGGGACGTGAATGTAACATTGAATTCAAATGTGGCTCCCATGCTTGATTGGAGATTCATATCAGACCATTAACAGGTTCTCTTTTTCCGTGTTCCATTCCTTTGCTGACCACATCATTTGGTGTTACAGGAAACAGTGCCGTTCATTCAGGTCACGCTTAGTATTTCTGAGGTTTATGTTAACCAGCTCTCTTGCTCTGAAAAATGTGAAACTATAGGCCTGGAATGACAAAAGTCACATGTTGGAACAGAGTGAACTGTCTCTCCAAAAGACTCACCACTGTAATAATAATCAAATAGAGAATCAAGGGATATAGAGAGAAATAGAATAAAGATCAGAAAAATACCTCTGATGGGATTAGTTAGTTAAACTTACGATGATGTTTTTAGCTACTAGTTCTTTCTATTCTTACTATCCTTTAATAGTAATTTAAGTTTGAATATCCTTTAACATCACCACAGTAGTTCTATAGACAACATTTAAGATAATGTCATATGTAAGTAAGTATTAGAGATATTAGCTTTAATTGGCTTGACTGATTAAATTTAAATATATTAAGGTTTGAAAAAATGGTTCACATTTATTTTTTATAATATATCAGAAATATATTTTGTTGTAAACAGTTTAACTGATTTATTTTTATCAACTAATTTAAATCACATTTTCTGTTAATTTGAAATGTTTATTCTATACTTGCAGCATTATTTTACATTTTGAAGCACTACTTGAATTGAAACACTGTCTTGAATTTTTTATTTTTCACAGTGTAGCATTTCAAATTAAAACATATTTATTAACAAAACACATTTGCAAAAATGTATATAGTTGGGCAAAATACATGCAAAATGCATCTATTAGAAAAATGCATGTAAAATCTTTATCAAATTTATCATGTATAGTTTAAAAAATATTAAGTATTCCATATACAATTTTATAATGACTTATTGATTATGTGATAAATTTTATATTGTATGTGAAATTGAAACATGGACATTTGACTTGGAAAAATGGGAAACCAAGAATCCACACGTGACAGATTTACCCATCTCTAGTTATAAGTCAAGAAGAAGTATTTTTTTGTCTAGTTGGATTTACATTAAGTCAGCTTAAACAGAGCTAATTCTTGTTAGATAAACCTGTATGCATATTCTTTAGTGTGGAGCTTATTGAAATTATACTGCATGAAGACAGCTCCAGTAAATTAATAT